ATTTTCTGGCTTGCATGAAATGTTTATGATTAATTTAATGACTCTTCTTGACTATTCAGCAGACTTATACTACTATATAGGCCACAGCATATTTGGAAATAGAAATTGATGGCTGTTTCTGTAATGCACGGTTGTGTGAAAGAGAAGAAAATAATCAATTTTACCAATGTCGGTTGGTCTAAATCCAAATTCATAGAGTCGACAAGAACCTGGGAAGCAATGATAAGTTATGCCGGAGTGGAAAGAAAGTAGCATTGGAAACGATTGAGAGGTGAGAAATCAAGTTGCAGACAGACAGTTGATGTTTTAAAATATAGTCTATAGTCCATACATCCACTGTCTTAGGGCATTTCAGACTGTAATATATCAAAATTTAGTGTAGATATAGTCTAGTAATGGTATGCAAACACTGCTGGACTGTAGTACATGCAATGAGCATATATACGCTCATTGAGTACATCAGATAAAATACATTATGTATTCAAGGTATTAGTTAGTATTTAGTGGTATTTTTACACTCATGCTGTTCGAAATATGATTTTCTTCCTCATTTTAGATACTGTACTACAGAAGAAAACGGCAATGTTCCACCAATCCGACCTAACGCAGGCTCTAATCCCTGCTGCTACCAGTGCTATAAAATGGATTAAACAAGAAGTCTTGAAGCGTAAAGGTATATGAGAATCATAATAGTTGCAAACAGCTTAGATGTGCTCAACTGCCCATCAAACTCATGTTGGAGACTTCATTGAGGTTTTCAATTCATTTTTTTCTTAACTATGAAGATCTTTTGAGGTTAACGAGGCATTAATAAATAAAGCTGAGGAATTTGTTTGTTCACTGTATGAAGATATGAAGAATGTAAATGATACCAGGGCACGTCTATTTAACACTGGCAAACATAAGGATTATACTCTTCCCACCCAACAATGATTCACTGAAGAAGCATGTGGCCCTCCAATCAGTTCTTGAGTTGGCAAACTGCAAGTGTGCCAAAATCAATTTAAATTGCACAAAATTTGTTTTTGTATTGACTGCAAAAATCGCAGAACACTTATAGAGGAAAAGTCGATTTTCGAGATAGTGGATTTTGAAAACAATTCAGAAGAAAGTGAATTAGATATTGCAGTTGATTTAATAAGTATCATTTATACTTATATATTTTTTCGGACATTTGTTAGTGTCGTAGTCCTGTTCCTAGAAATAATATTGCCTTTGTTCAAATACATAACCACATAAATTAAAAAAAGACTAATTGTAATATTTCTGTTCACTATGTTATGTACATTCATTCAATTTTCTTTCCGGTAAATTTCTAAGTGAGAAATAACTGATTTATTTGTGTTTTCGTGCTCACGATGTTAATTTGTGACTTCATTGCTTAAAAATAAATACGTTTGATAGCTTCTATAAAATGGATGTAGCTTTTTATGTTGTTCTTGTTGTAAACTGCTTGTGGTTATTACATAAAATTTATTCGCTAATGTGAATCAGCGTTGTTGGTGTCGCTGCTTTCGAGGTCACTCGCGACTCCTGTCACACAAATTAAGTATTTTTTGTTGTTGGTTACATGTATGCCATATTTTTTGTAATCTACCTAATAAATTATGATTGACTGAGGAAGTCCGATTTTGGTCAGGCAAAACATTACAGGAATACATAATTGTGTTAGTGTGCTGTAGGGCTCTCGAATTACATAGTTCTTATGTATGTGTTGTAAACTTATGGTTATTGAATTTCCGGGAACCTCTTATAGAGGACTTGCACGGGTCACGTGACTCTGTTACTGGACGGCAATAAAACAAAAACGTCCATTTGGCTCCTGTCAGTTGCAAGTCGGATTATACGTTTCCGTTTTGTTTGGCTGTTGAAAATGGTTATTTCGTATTGTTCCGTTGGCTGTGGGTATAGTATATAGATCTTAAGTTATATTCCACTGATTTCAAAAGATCCGGAACGTCGCGCAATGTGGATATCATCTATTGCCTATTGGCAGAACTGCTTGGTGTCAAGTCCAGAAGCCATCTCACTTGTGTTTCACTGTTTGCGGACAGCACTTCGTTGATGGTGAGTGATAATGTGGTAATAGTGTGCCGTTATCAATTTCTTTAAATATTCACAAGCTCCCTCATTTCAATGGAAAGCAGCTGACAAACTACTGTTATTAGTAGGCCTAGACGTGGGCCTACTTGCAGTTGCAGACTTGACTTGTGTAAGACAGTAAGGAATTAATAATCAACTGTTATAAGCCTTATAGTATAAGGTATTGTTTCCCTGATTAGCAGGTAATCTATTACTAAGTGTGAAAGGTTGAATAGATAACTAAAGTTTAACACCATGGGGGCCTGAAAAAAATAACCAGAATTCAATTGAATTCGCCATCTAGGAATACGCTCGCCACCGCATCTCTGATCACCCTGGTAGTTTCACAGGCTTCAATCCCATGCGGGGATGTGCGAGAGGATTGCAGCTCTACTCCCACCGAGGGTGGTTCACATGACCGCTGATCGGTTACGACCATTCCCCACCATCCAAGTCCATGCTTCTGAAAGCAAATAACTGGCTCCCCCCAGATAAATCCTATTCTAATGGTGCTTGTACAACTGATCCAAAATGTCTTTTTATTGTCATTGGTAAATAAGATATGCTACCCGGAATCAAATTCATTTACGACTAGTGGCTGAAGTGGGATATGGAAATAAATTTCACACTCCTTGATCGTTAGATTTTCATGAAAACTCTATCTGTATCCATTATCTTACAGATATGGGTGCGACCATGGAATAGATGGATGGCAAAGTATAGGTTGCAACAAGACCACAGTGGCACAAGACCTCAGCTTGCGTGACTTGATAATACATCCTCAGTATCCATTTATTGATGCTTATCGTAATGACAAAGTAACTTGTGATTACTGTGGATTGGTGGAGATAAAGTGTCCATTGTGCTTTAACGAAAGCAACTTCAAGACGACCCTACCAAGAAAAAAATTGTTTCGGTGGGTCTGGTAGTGAAGGTTTCAGTGTAAAGTTGGACACCGTTACTACAACCAGATACAGTTGCCAATGCAACTGGCGTAATATTGCCACTTTGTGATCTGAAAGAAAATTCTGATGGGTAGCCGGCTAGCCGCAACATTTTGTTTAAAGAATATTATGAGATATGACTTAAGAGTCTAAACTTTTATTTGAGAGGGGTGTAACCCAAGCTAATTTGCAAATGGTATTCATGGTACCAAATGTATCACACACTTTACAGTAATTATAAATTCTATTTGAAAAATAAAGCACATCAAAAATGTATTTTTAAAAAACAATTGGTTTTATCTGCAGATACTAGGTTGATATTGAGATTGACCATTTCAATGCTAAATCTTCTTTAGTCAAAAGGCACACTTGATTGGCAAAGATTTGTGAATGCGCACAGTACACAAATTTGTCTAACGTTTTGATTCCATAGGCAGGAGGTTGTAGATCGGTGCTGCTCAGGATGGGATATTTTTGCCTATAAATGCATATTACGTGTTTCACATGAATCCATCGTGCTCAGATTCGACTGTTTACAAGGTCTGAAGGCTCTAACAGCCTAATTTTATCGGTACACAGGAGAATTTTCAGTGTGGCATGCATGGGTCAGTTGGAGTCACTGACCTCAAGGTATCTATCTATAAGCAAGGATAAGATAGCCTGGAAGTAACATTCCATAATTTAGAGTAAAAAATGTATCTGCCTCCACAGCCCTTTCAAATGGAAGATATGATGCCTCGGGGGTAATTTCTATTAAATATTTCACAGTATTATGGTTCTAGTGAAAAGGGGTGTAGGCGGCTTCTTTTAAAATGTGGTAGGTCTAGTCGAAAGACACATTAAATGTTTATGCTAACAACTTCAAAGTAATATTGCAACGAATACAAGTTAACAGAATTTGTTGAAATGGTCCTGCATTTTGCCTTTCTTCAAAATCCCCCTTTTTCTAACTATTCTCTTCCTCTCTGGAGATGGCGAAAATTCAAATACCGATGGGACATATAAGCAGCTGATAATGGCTTATCTTCCCTTTTTCCTGAAATTAAATTAAACACTAATCATCATTTGACAGTGCCAAGTTTGTGTATCAGATCAGTAATTAATTACCTGCTGACTAATAAAACAATCAGACAACACCTTCTGACCATTAATGAAGATTTCTTTCAATTTAAAACGCAACTATGCTTACCAATTTGGGTAGTTTTTAGAATAGAATTTATCTGTGGTTGGGGACAGATTGCAAGGTGCATAATCGTACGATTACCATTCTATGTCGGGATTAGTTAGCCAGTTATTCGTTTTAGAAGCATGGACTTGATGGTGGGGGATGTCGTAATCGACCAGCGGTCGTGTGAACCACCCTCAGTGGAAGGAGAGCTGCAATCCCCTCGCACATAACTATCCCCGCATGGGATTGGAACCTGTGAAACTCTCAGGGGGGTCAGAGATGCGGTGGCGAGCGTTTTCTTAGATGGAGAATTCAAACTTTAGTTATCTATTCAACTTTTCACACTTACTAATAGATTACCTGCTAACTAGGAAAAACAATACCTTATGGCAATTATATATTACATTATATATACAGTATATATACATTTATGATTTCAAATGATGTTCCTGTTTTATCTGGGTTGAAGTCTTGAGTCAAGTTGAGTGAATTACAGAAGGTACGTTTCACTGGCCGTGAGTTGATTGGGTCTAGAGGGGTTGGTAGCATAGAAGTCATATTTGACACGCAACGAACGCATTTCGTCAACCCTATTTTGACACCCCAAATATGTCTTTTGTTCTACCCAACGACTAACATACCGGTTCTACCACAGGGCTCTGAGGGATTCTTTTTTTTGTATGCGATGACGTCATTCCTTGTGCGAACGCGCGTTGTCTGCATTGTACCTTTCCTGATGCGTCCTCATTTCGAAATTTTCTGCAACACTTGCTGTTTGTAGTAGAACCGTCTATTCTACGGTTCCATACTAATCAATATACGTGTATTGTCAGTATTCTATAGATATTTAGGTCTATTGGTAGGGGTAATTTATATTCTAGGCCTAATTGTATATAAAATATAGTCATTTTTGTATCATATAAAGTTGCTGTTAAACTTCTGGAGTAGTGTAAAAATTCAAAGATGCCTGTTTTTACTGGTAAGAAATGTGTTTTTGTATATAAAAAAAAAACTTGTTTTAATAATGAGAGAGTGTGTTTATAACTTGGTGTTCTCAGTTTTTTTATTTTTATTTAGATATTGCTAACACAGTCTGACAGTTGTATGTCTGTATGTTTATTTATTTTCACAACATAACCACAGAACAAAGATTTTCATTCAGTTCATGCTATAACAGTACCGGTACCGTATATCAAGTGCACAATAACATACAAAGTTTTTCAAATATTTTATATTAATTCCATATACACTAATTCTTTTTCAGTCAATGTTAAATGGGGGAAGGAGATATACAAAGCTGTTGAATTGTCAACAGACGAACCTCCAGAAGTATTCAAGGCTCAGCTATTCACGCTGACAAGTGTTGCTCCTGAACGGCAGAAAGTTATGTTGAAAGGGGTCGTGATAAAAGATGATTGGGGAAAAGCTAAATTAAAAAACGTCAGTTTTTTAAATTTTTGCAGTGAATCGTAAGAAAGCTTTAACTGTAATCAAAACTAGATAGTGATCATCATTCCTGCATTTACACAGTCCACATCACCTCGCTTAAATCTTTAAATGCAAAGATGAATTTTTCAAATGATTTTATGAATTGAGAAAGTCTACTCATCCATGAGAGAATCTTTAAAAATGGTAGTCTTTTGGTAACATCTACAATTCGTGCGTTTGAATGGGAAAAACATGTATAATAATTAGAATTACTTGTTGGTGGTATAGGGTAAAACGGAAGGCCAACGTAATAGTATCATATTTTACATAAGGTACAATTGGTGTTAGTTGTGCTTTTTTCTTGGTATAAAAATATTATGCTATTATGCATACGTTCATTGTTAAACAGGGAGTTACTATACTCATGATGGGATCAGCAGCCGAACTCCCCAAAGAGCCAGCTGAAAAAACTGTATTTCTTGAAGATTTGTCAGAGTCTCAACTAGTATCTGCTGTAAGTTTTTTTTATCATTTTAGCATCAGTTATATTTAATATTTATCTATTGGATATATTTATGATGTGGGAACTCATCAACAGAAGGGTCAAAATGATAAATATTTATAATTTTATTAATATGATCTTTGCGAACCCTTGGTTTATTTATTATGTTCTGAATAGTACAGGCCTGCCGTCACCCACGTAATCCTAAATGAAACTATATTTAGATGGATCTTTCTACTGGCCTACAAAACCTTGGCAATACTTGTTACATGAATTCAACTGTTCAATTATTGAAGACAGTTCCTGAATTGGGTGATGCACTTAAACAGTAAGTAAATTATAGAGTTTGAAATCTGCAACATTTTTTTGGCTTCTCTTTTTCTTCCATTGAGAGTGAGAGACATTATTGCCATTTACGATTTTGTGTACTGTTTAGTCATGGTTGGAATTTTATCTAAAATAGTGATAATTGAAGTCAAAATTTTCTGCAGAAACTCGAAAAAATTAAGTTGACCTAGTATTATAAGTCTATTAAAGATAGCACGCATAAATCAGTTTTCTTATCAATTGGAGCTGGATTCGTTGTCCTACTCTGAATAAATGCAGGAACAATGCATTGTGCAAGATAGCACTTTAAACTTTATTCTCTTTGTTTTCTTATTTTTCCATCTAATTATTTCAATTTTCTTTCTTCAGATTTAACGGCCAAGCTTTATCAAATATAGAGACAGATGTTTCTGGCTCTATCACAGCTAGTTTAAGGGATTTATATTCTCAAATGGAAGAAAAGAAATACGCTGAAGTTCCTCCCTTGTTCCTTCTCCATTTACTTAGGAAGCAATGTCCTCAATTTGCTGAAAAGAATAATGAAGGACACTTTATGCAGCAGGTAAGCTTGAACTTTATTTGCTCATGTTTCATTTCTTATGTGTACACTGTACATCAGAGCAATTTAGTACTGAATTACTTTTGTTTTCTTATCTCATGAGTGTCCCGAATTTGTAAACCATGCTCAACATATTCAAACTTTAAAAGATGCAGCTCACGTGAACTTTGAAATTTAATTATCAAGGAATTGCTTGAGAGAACTCTCATACGAAAAAAAATGTTTTTAAAAAATGTCTTTTTCTGCCTATACTCAATAGTGTGACAGTCAGTGTACTGTTAGGAACCAACTAAAAGAAAAAAAGAGGTAGTTTTTTATGTGCCTATCGATCTGTACATAACCAAGAATATTATCATATTAGGATGCTAATGAATGTATTATGGAAGTCATGAGAATCCTTCAACAGAACTTAAAATCGACTGGAAAAAGGAAAGATTTTATTGATCAATTTTTTGGAGTTGATTATAGTGTAACGTAAGTATCTTTGTTCTAAATCATAATCCTCAACAAAGATTAGATTTTTGGTGGAATTTCTTTGGTTATAATGGTGGAAATTACTAGTAAACTCCAAGGAAATACTGACAAATGTATATTTACATATTATCATGAATACAGTTCACAGTAAAAAATACCTGTATTTGGCTATTAAATAAAGAGTAGATTTTTATCTGCTTATCTGAATGGATCAAATTTTTATACTCACTTTTTGCCGGGAAAATTGATGATGGGATTTTATTCATTTTTCAGAAGCTACACTTCTTGTTTTATGTCCAGAATTTTATAAACAATATTAGAATGTTATATTGCCCTTCACACTCTTTTTTGTTGTGTCCTGTAATTTATACTGAGAGCGATACATGAAATATATAAAAAGAATTTCTTATATTAATTTAAATTTTATTGTGCAATTGGTCATTACTGATTAGGGGGTGAGTTTGCTGCTCAAAATTAAGTACCATTTTGAATTTGTGTGAGCCAAAATGATGTCAGCCCATAGCACTCTCACACATGATAATTGATTGAAAAAATAAAGCTTGGAAATTTCTTTCTTACAACAAAAATAATGACAAATTTCATAGAATGAAATGCAAAGACGAGGAGGCAATAGAAGAAGCTGAAACAAAATTTCCAGAATCATCTCTTCAAGTTAATTGTTTTATATCGCAAGAAGTTAAATACATGATGACTGGAATCAAATCCAAACTTTGTGAAGAAATAACAAAGCATTCACCCTCTCTAGGAAGAGATGCCAAATATCAAAGAGAGGTAAATATAACAATGAAAAACATAGTTCAGAAAATAGCGTTGGAATGCCAATTATTAACTATGTCTATAACGTCTTCCATTCATCAATTATTCTTTCATGATAACTTAATACACTTTGACCAGACGAGTTTATCATATTAACAAAATCTAAAGTCTTAAGTTCAAAACTCACTGAAGTTGTGGTCAGGGATGGCCGAAAACTGAAAATATATCATTCTGAATATATTCTAAAATAATATTTGCAAATGTAAAATATTGAATGTATCCTATTTTAAGTCATGTTGAACAGAAAAGTTGAAGAAGATGTTGTTAATTCATAGAAATTTATATGAACAATGCAGAATAGTCGAAAAAAACATTGTCTTCACTGAGTTTTTATGATTTCCTATGTAAAGTGAAGTCTATTGTAATCAAGCTGTATTTTTCACTCCAAAATTATGTATAAGCATTCGGTTTAGAATCTTCGAATTCATTTCAACCTCATTATATAAATTGCTTTTAACTTCATTTTATATAAACTTTTCAGAGTAAAATCAGCAGATTACCATCATATCTTTGTATCCAGATGGTCAGATTTTTTTTCAAAGAAAAGGGAAACATAAACGCCAAAATTTTAAAAGTATGAAATATTAAATTTTTTATGTATCTATATCATATCTATTCACTTTTCGCTCTGGACAAGGACTTGCTGATATGTAAGGGACTGGAATTTTTCCTGCTGGGCATTGCCTCCCCCAATTCATTACACACTGGGTGAAGTGGTGGGCATGGGATTCAAACCAGATATTTTAACCTATGATGACATCATAGTTGAGTCCCTCCAGGCCAACTGTATTGAGATTATATCTGGTTGTAGCACTTATATATTGAAGCAATAGTCAATTTGGAAATTGTTTTCACTGATAACTATCATCTGCATGTAACTGATGTATGAAGCACAGAAATGTAGTGTTTAGCTAAGCCCAAATTAAATTCTATCACAATAAAAATTTTAAAATTTATTGGGTGGAATTGTAAAGGGAATAAGCAAATTAAGGGGATAAGCAAATCAGTCATGGTTTACTTGTGTATTCATGACGACTGTTCATGATATTCCCAGTGGATTCGAAAATCACCGCAATATGATTCAACAATCAAGGGCTTGGGTTCTTTTTCTTGAGCTTTGCTGGATGGAGATTATTGATATTAGCAGCAATACCATTGTGATCATCTGAAAGTATTTCAATACTATCCTTTAACATATTATTATACACAGGATGTGAAGTTTCCAATGACTTTTGATATGTATGAATTGTGTACTCCTGAGTTACAAAACAAGTTGAGTCCAATGAGAGAAAAATTTCTTGCAGAAGAAGAGAGAAAAAATGAAGAGAAAGCTGCAATCAAGTTAAAGGGAGGAGATGCATTAGCAAATCAGAAACAAGAGAAAAAAAGATTTGGAATATGAACGTTATGACTTTGAAAATGGTAAGAAATATGGCATAAATGAGATTCACTAGATGTGACTCGAATGGTTATCATAAATTTCCTGTGTTTTGATACCAATTATCTCTGCGCAGTGGGATCCGCAAGTTATAATGATCAATCAATAAGGGCATAAGCATAAACTTGGCACCCTCACCTTGGATGATGCTCAATAGCTTTCTCATTTACATACAATATTATAGATATGTATCACTGGGGAGAGGAAAGGCGAATATACGGCTTAAAAACCACTGGTATAATACGTAACTTTTGACATAACAAAATAAAGCCCATTCATTCCTCCAGAAGTCACATCTGATGGAAAGATTAATCAAATTAAATTTAGGATACCCGATATGCATGCTGCCACTTGACTAACCATAGCCGTGAGACCAGCCATATCACATCTTTGCACTTTCAGATCCTGGATCATCCAATAGTGGTTATTATGAACTTCAAGGTATTGTAACTCATCAAGGAAGGTCAAGTTCATCAGGACATTATGTAGCATGGATCAAAAAGAAAGGAGGTATTATATCTCCCATTTCAGTTTTTCCCCTTTTTTATACACTAGAATAAGTCTTGTGTGATTAGACTATTGTACGTGGTAACCTCCATTAAGATGACTGTGTGGTTCAAAATCTTTTAAAATGGTTAGTTTTATATGGTTGGAGAACAACTTCATGTACCTCCATAAGTTAAGAAATGTTGGCTTTGTGTTTTCAAAATCTGATATTTAGAGAATGCTTTAGTCCAGGGTTTCCCAAACTGGGCTTGTCTGTGATGATTGCACAGGGAGTCTGCAACAATATGAAAAGAGTCTGTACCTTTATGTGTGAGGCAGCATTTCTAGCTTTTATCAGACTTGCCGTAGAGTCGGACCAAGGAGTTTGCTTGTCCGAGAATTGATAAATTGTGCAGTGAAAAGCAACCTCATGCATCACATTAATGTCGATGGTGTTATAAATAAAAAATTCATCCTTCCTCGTTGGTTAGGCACAGAAATTGATACGACATGGGATGTGGGGGTCCATCAAAACTAAGCTTCACAAATGGGGGTCCGCAGCCGAAAAAGTTTGGGAAACCCTGCTTTAGTCAATAATACGCAAAAAAGAAATAATTGCAAAAAGGAAAGGATTGCCAACTTTTTCTAATCTCTCTCTCCTTCATTAATTCTGCCTTTTGCCACAACATACTACTTATTGTTCCTACTATACTAAAGGTTAAGATGGTATCCTTCTATATTTCTACAGATGATTGGTTGAAATGTGATGATGATACTGTGAGTCCTGTTAAAGGTGAAGATATTTTGAAATTGTCTGGTGGAGGCGATTGGCATATTGCATATGTGTTATTGTATGGACCTCGAAGACTGGAAATTCATCAACCTGCAAAAACTGATTCAACAACAGCTGAAACTCCAATTTCTATGGAAACTGATACTAATTGAATCAGAAATAGTTAAATAGTGGTCTAAAACATTCCCAATGGTTTTGTTAGCATCAGTCATAGCAACGTAAGATTGGAAAGTTGTCGATATATATAGCACCTATTGTGCAATTTGGTTATAACTTAGTGACTAAGCAAAGCTGCTAAATTATTAATATACATTTTGATAGACCTAGGTCATTTTTGTATGAAATTTTTCGTCTATGAAAGTTCAATTGTGGAAATGTTTTCGTTCAATAAACCTATCATCAGCGAAATCTGAAAATGTAATTCGAGTAGTTCATTTAAAATCCAAAATGGGCTTGACTGTAGTAGAGCGATGAATCCGGTTATATCAAGGCGACAAGCGATATTAGAGGTCTTAATCATAATATGGTGAACCACTGCCTCTTGTCCGGTAACCAGTCAATGTCGGGTGGTTAAGGAATTACCCATGTGGTTGTTTATTTTGAGATGCATGGACTGGCAAGATGGTGGAGGAATCCGTGACCGACTGGCGGTTACGTGACCAACCATACGGTGGTGAGGATTCCAGCGATCCTCCCGCCCATATTTAACCCCGCATGGGATGCGAACCCACAGCCTACAATCAGAGGTGCGGTGGCGAACGTATTCCTAACGATTAGCGTGACGCGCCACGCCGTCTAGCCAACGGTTTTCAGTTGGCAGTAGATTGAGTTACAGTCTGAGACTGCCTTGCTAATCGTTCTTCATTTATGCAGCCATGGGGCACATTCCAACCATTGCCTTGGTCATTCAAAGACATATTGTGATGTGTGTTATTTATTATTATGAATCCAGAGCAGAGAGTGCATCAAGAAAATGCCTTTTAATTCTTTCATTGAGCATTTCTGGTGATATTCACTCGCGCGTTCCCTCAAGATAAACAGACTAATATAATGGAACTGCCAGGTGTTTTGTACACCCCCCCTCACTGTTGTGGAATAATCCCCAACTGTAACTATGCTTGATAGTGTGCTTGCTATCTACTGTGTTAAGTTCTGAATGCCTGGATTTAACGATAATTTGCCCGTTCTGATCTCCATGATGGGTTAAAAATTATGGTTTATAAAAAACTGAAACATTGCATAGTTTCATAGAGCATCCGATCCTAATAAGTAAGGTCTCTGTAGAATTAATTGATTAGTTTTATGGCAGCATCCCTCATCATTCCCAATAATTTCTCTTAAGCAAAAAAGAAGATTGTGTGATTAAATAATTTTACTCTACGCTTTATCAACTACAAGCACACAATATAATTAACACTAATTAAAATGTTGAATTGAAAAAAAAAATAATTATAAAACGCTGGTTTAATCGATATGGTTATATAATTGCACAATTAGCTGTATGTATGCTTCCAGAATGTATATTAGAATTCTATAAATTACCCACAAGATATATATAACAGCGTTAGGATGAAGACTACATAAAACTGAAAAAAAGTTATGCTTGAGACAAAAGGGCTACAAAGAAAGGCAGTCAATGGGACATATATTAGGTCACAGTAGCTTATTAGCAATTTTGAGATTTCAAAGTCATTTTTGTGTCTCATATAAACTTTGTTTTTTGTAGGTTGTGGTATTAAATATACCACTATTACTACAACACAATTCTAATGTTCAAAAATTTTCTGGCAATAGTTTACATATTTCAAAATATTATAGTGTCTCTGGCAGGAAAGTTTCCAACAAAGATAATTTGCTTAGTCATAATCATTGTGTAAACACAATGTGTTGAAACATTATTAAACCATCGAAATAATGGTGTCTGGTGACAGGCAAATCACAAGGCTGTAGGTAATGGGATACAGTTGGAATTTCTCTTAGTTTATATTTAATTCTTAATCAATTCTAAATTCTTCAAGGTAACATATATAAACTGAGCCATAAAACTGCTGCTTACAATTTCACATTACCTATTCACGTAAAATAATGCTGGTGGAATTTGTTAAACACTTGTGCTGACATAGAAGGGAAAATTCATCTACTTCAAAGAATGAAAATACAATCAGATTCAAAAACATAATACAAAAACTTAAGCTAAATTCAGGTAAACTTATAAATTGAAGATTCGATAACATTACAACAGTAAAGCAATAATTCTGTGAATTGAAGCAAAATATGCAATAACAACAGGTTACTGAGCTTACTATTATTTAAAGGGAACTTGAATGAACCAATACAAATAAAATGTTATCAAAAACTATATAAATGCTTATGCTGTTATAATAATTCTTAACATGATATAAATTCAATTGACAGGCACAAACGATAGGGTAAAATAAAGTTTTAAACTAAGGCTACCAAGGTCTCATTAAAAGTATAGTGGCCCACCATAAATTATTCAAATACCTCAATCACCTTTTTTTCTTGAGCAATACCCACTACCCAGTATATACGATTCATAGATGAGCTGAAACCATGAGTATTACACAGAATCGAAAGGTTAATGATATATAGGAAGCATTAATTCACTACCGGATTGAGTCCTTTGTCCCTATCCTCGTAAGTTATTTGCTGTACCGTTTTATTTCTACTCAAAAACAGTATCGAGAATATAAAAAATAGTGCAGTAATACTTCAGAAATCAGAATCTTCTTCAAATTTTTAAAGTCTCAAAATCAAAGTGCAAATACTAATTACCGTAAGTTAGCGAATATATGTATATATTTTTTAAACATGATTTCTCAAATTTTTTTATGAGGTCACTATTGAAAGTCGTAAAGTGGAGTGAATCTTTAGTTTCCTGTGGACTTTTGTTGTTTGAGCCTATGCTCCGTTGCATGAATCCTCATTTGCAATCTATTTTCAAAATCATAACCTTCATATCCATCTTTACAATGCCTCAATATTTCAAGACCTTTTTGCTTCATACCTGGTTTTTCAATCAATATTGAAGCAAGTTCATAACACGCATATGGTGCTATGTGACCATCATCATAATCCCTGTCTGATACCTTCATCGCTGTGCGGAAACATTCGATAGCTGCGTCTGTATTTCCAAGGCTGTTATGTAAACCACCAACAATAAGATTTTTGAGTCCATTTAAACTTGGGCTAGTAATTTTAGCACATTCATCGAGAATTTTATTGAGAGATTCTTTAGTGCAGTTTGGAAATGCTCTCCAAAGATATAATAATTCGAGGATGTAAATTAATAAAAACTCATATGTTGCAGGGGTTTTAATAAACAAAAGTGCTTTACGAACAATATATATTTCCAATTGATTCGATTTTATTTTCATTGTTTTGGGAACTTCGATAAAAAGCTTCATACACTCAACTTTATCATCAGTCATGCCACTCATGAGAGCAGTCAGGTAAGTGTAGTAACACACTGACCATTTTGATTCATTTTTTAGCATGATAAAATATTCGAGAGCCTTCGCCCAGTCAAGTTCCATTAAACTACACCATCCAATTTCATACGCACACATTAATTGGAATTCTCGCTGATCTACACCAGCATCATATGCTAATTGAAAAGATATCAACGCAGTTGAGATATCACATTTACAACGTTGAATTCTTCCCTTGAAAAACAACACAAAAGATGACTTTGGATACACTGGTTCATGCTTTGCCATGATAGCTTCAGCCACTGGTATTCCAGAATCTGCTTTATCGCCATCAACAGCAAAGAATGGTCGTACAACAGTGTGGTACCACAGCAAAGCCAACATAGCAAGAGGTGCTTTCATGTCCTCACTTTCGCTGGCACTTTGCAATGCTTCCAGTCCAACTTCTCTATCACCATGGAAACCGATTAAATTCACAACTTTGAGTAACTTTTGTGGAATGAGAGACACACACAAATTGAAGAGACCAAAACCAAAACTAACAGACCCATATAATCGTTCTAATATTTCTTTTGATATACTTTTAGCCTGTTCTTTTAACTTCAAATCATTTGAAGATTTTGTTTCCCTAGTAGAACCCTGCGGCTCGGCCTGTGAAACCCTTTTCAGTAGAGATATTTGTTCATATGTTTTTTCATATATTTTCCAGGCTTTGCGCAAGGTCCATCCACCTTTAATATATCCGGTGATGTCCTGCTGAATAAAAGAAATGAGAGCTAAATAAAGATGACAATCTGCAATAATAATTTTGTTTTGAAGAACCTTCGAAAGTGGTAATTGGGGTCTCTGTGCAGCCTTTTTGGAAAATTTTGATTTTATTGCATTTAAAGTCTCATCTGGAATATTGCAAAGTTTTTGTGTTGCTCTGAGGTCATTTGATGCCTGTACCAGCCTTTCGTCTTCAAATGTCATCATCCCGTTTAAAAAACTGAAGAAACTTGCACCAGCGCTCATTTGTGGGCTTGTTGTTTTGAACTTATTGAATAGTGCTTCTGCCTCTTTAAATCCATTATTAAGCATCAGTTTTATTCCTTCCAAGGCAATCAAATGATCATCAAAATTATCTGGCATAGCACAGGCTCCATTTTCCATAGAGTTATGTGCAGAAGCATCCATTTTGACAAATAGATGTATAATACTTGATCATTGAACACAACTGACCATTCTACTGAAAATTATATTGATATGGAATTAATTATGCAGAATTAGTAATATTTATTGCATAGATTTATTCTGTAATCCAACAATCAAAATTATAAACATTAACATATAAATGATACAACCCTCAATACACAATATGAATACATGCTAATTTTTGTCTGACCATAACTGCTATGATAAAACAGTCAAACATACTGACATATGCATATCTCACGAGATCACAGTGCAGTGCTTTTGGGAATTGGGGTCACAGGGTCAGTTATGAATGTATCAAATTCAGTCTAGATCAGGGGTTCTCAACCTGGGGTTCGCGAACCCCCAGGGGTTCACGAGAAGATTTCCAGGGGTGCTTGGATGATAGTCGAGTTTTTGTATGTTGCTGTTTTTTAATATCCTTGATTACTACCATGGGAAAATGCGTATTCATTGAAACTAGACGCCAATTGAAACATAGATTTTGCCTGATCTTGCGTTGTCGTGATTATGACGCAACAATCTGAAATTTAAGGCTTTGCGTACAAACTGTGAAATCTCTATAAACAGCGTGCTGCGAGCATTGGAGAAGTGATTATGATTATTGTAACTTGGGAGAGATTTTAAGAGTTCATTATTTAGGCAGACGACAAGGGCAATAATATCAACAAGACGATTTAATTTAGTTACATAGGGTCAATAAATTGGTGTTGCAACAAATTGTTAGTTAATATATCAGTATATCACAACTTTGTTCGGTGTCAGATTACCGGGGGTTCGCGTTGATTGTTTCGTGACTCGGGGGGTACTTGACAGAAAAAAGGTTGAGAACCCCTGGTCTAGATGCTTTTATACATCAAATTACAGAGAGAGAGTGTTTATTATTTTCTCAACCAAAATACAAATAAATATTATAACCAAAGTTACTCCAGCCCACACTCAGCCTGACATAGACTGGGAGATAGCGATACAATCAATGGTCATTGAAGTCAGCCACTACCAATTCCAACCAATTAATTATTGAAAAAATAATAAATCAACCATCGACTAGCTAACTACCCAGAAATATATTTGAACAGTATACTCTCAATACAAATAGTAAACATTTGAAGGAAAAAGGGATACACAAAAAACAAGTGAATAGTAGAAAATTACCATAGGTACTTAAGTAAAAAGATAGTAAGGAAATAGTGGCTATGGGACAATTATATGATGGGTAATTACTAGGGCTGGGAATAGTTAACCGGTTAACTGATTTTAGATGGTTACTGGGTTAACGGTTACGATTTATTTTAACCGTTAATTGACATCTCAGGTACAATTCATCTTTATAATGCACAATTTCTTCAAAAATGATTACGTCATCGCAAATTTATCTCATGTGGCATTTAATTCAAAAGAATATCACTTACTGTATTGGTAAGGATCCAATAAATGTGAAAAATAATTGAAGTACCAAGATTGCTGATTATGAAAACGATAAATTCAGAATCAGTTTTCGGTCAAAATATATTGTTCACGATTTTATTGCAAAATCGTTTATTCTATGTCATCCAACAAGTGTGCAGTTGATGCTGTTTTTCTTTATGATATCTCAGAGTAGGATTTGCACGTCGAATTTGTCATATAAATGACATTTTTTAATAACGGATTCGGGTAACCATTGTGACGTAACATGCTAAAATTATAAATTATCACGTCAAACGTGGTCACGCTGCGGTTAACCGGTTAATTTTACTCGGTTAACGGTTGAAATGTTTTCCCTGAAATTCCCAGCCCTACTACAGTAGTAATTCACATGTTTTTCTCATTATAGAGTTATAAATTATTATCATTACATGCTAGTAATCTCTAACAAGAGAATTTCGATTTTTTTTCAAATATTACCTATGTCTGTATGTCAGTATGTAGGAAGCCAGGAATTTTATTTCAAATTTTTGCACCAGTAACTTGACTGATTTTTATGAGTGTCAGCTCTTGGGATAAAATATGATTTTTCTCACCAATATCGGGTACCGGTATTTATACGAATACTTGCTGCCGGTACCTACTGCAATCGGCGAAATATGACGCAAACATTACATTTCAATATATATCTAATATTGCCATATGATTTCTATGCCATCTTAATTTAGCTGAACTGAGAAATCTCACTACATGCTATGCTATAAAAACTAAACAGCTGTCAGTTTTATCTCCAATCACGGCAGCAAGGAGAGCGAATACTGAAATATGGCAAATAAGTTAACCAACAGTCCATGCGATCATGACATCTGCCCGTCTGCTTATTTTTCAGATCGTGAATCATCAATTTTAGGACTACTAAGAAAATACCAGGAAAATATCAATTGATCGCGACACTACCATATTTTTGAACACGAAATGGTTCTATTGATCGTAATCATTTTGCTGAATCGTTGTTGCGGTTGTGGTTACTCGATGGTCGCTAAATTTTTTAGCGGCCATGGTTACTCGACATTGACAACCTATTTTCAACATAATTTTGGACACGTTTTGTACGTACCGCTTTTGGGGTCTTACTACTTATTGAATACAGCGCGAAACACCGCAAAGAGCGCAAAACAGCGCGCCGTGTTTCGCGCTGTATTCAGTAAGTAGTAAGACCGCCGCTTTTGTACTATCTTGTTTATTGTTGAGTTTTATCTTGCTGCTTAGCTACGATTTTAACCGATATGTCAACCGTTGGTTGTACCGAACATGATGGAGCGGTGGAACTTGATTCAGTAATCACTAATCAGTAGTTTACGTTTATATTTAGTTAGTGAATCTCAGTTTGTAGCCTTTCCATCGTCTTTTTTAGTTTTATTAGTTGGGTTATGCTAAGACGGTGTTAAAAAGTACAAGTAAGTTAATAAACATTCGTAGATCCTTACCATGGATATAGGCTATGAGACAAGGCCATGAAAAACGCCCAGAAAATGAGTTTCGTAGCTGGTTATTATATAAATTCTTTAGTTTTGTATGAAAATGAACATACTGAACGCAAATTGTTCCACAATCCTGATGCAAAATTGAATATAAGGGGGTTCCCAAACAATCGATATGAATAGGTTCACAACAACACAGCATAAGAACTATGCAATTCAAGACCCATGCTGCACACTAACACAAATGTATTTCTGTAACGTTTTACTGACCAAAATCAGACTTCCTCAGACAAGCATTTTACAACAAAAAACAGCATAGGAAGTTGCATTTATTTTATAGAAGCTATCAAACGTATTTATTTTTAAGTTATGAAGTCCAACACAAAAACACAAGTAAATCAGTTATTTCTCACTTAGAAATTTGCCGGAAAAGTCGAGAAAATTAAATGAATACACTATACAGTATGTACATAATATAGTGAACAGAAATATTACAATTAGACTTTTTTTCAGTTTATGTGGTCGTATGGACCTTTCCCCGAGCATCGACTTCCTTGTTTACTTTGTGACATTGGCCAATCAGCAAGATGCAAAAAGTGACGTAACAATGCCCCCTTTTGGCATTCGCTCAGACACTTTTCTCACTCAGACAGATTTTCAAGCGTGGTTGTAAACATTACCTCGTTTTCGCGTTTTTGAACTCTATTCGTTAGTTTTCAGTTGTGTATCGGAAACTTACATAAAAATCAGATAATTTAATGATCACTCTATCTTCCTGGGAGTTTTAATTTAATTGCAGTAATAAAAATGAGTGGAGAAATAGCTGTGATATACTAGCCTGAAACTCTTTACCGGTACTTTTAAAAAACAGATTGTTGTGTGCGATGAATCATAATGATGGTTTGAAACACATACCCCATTTTACAGGCACCAACTCGCAAAAACACTCCTAAAATAGCCTTGAAAATTTGCAATGGTAAAGTATAGGAAGAATTTTCCGGGGGTCAAAGGTCGGGGAAAGGTCCATATTTGAAACAAAGGCAATATTATTTATATACACAGGACTTTCGACACTAACAGATGTCTGAAAAAACTGACAAATAATGTTTATTAAGTCAACTTCAATATCTAATTCACTTTCTCGCAAAAGCACTCTTAAAAAAGCCCCGGAAATTTAGCAATGGTAAAGTATATGAAGAATTTTTCGGGGTCAAAGGTCGAGGAAAGGTCCATTGGTCCAGTATTCGAAGAGAAAGGGAAATTTTTTAATGACAATGATGAAAAATACCAAGAACAACAACATAATATTGAAATGACCGTTATGTCCACTAACGTGTCCAGCAAGTATTGCCAAATATCAGTTCAAAATACAAATGTTTTAGGGATTGTATACGCACGTACAAATTCAATACGCTAATAGTCGCCCATGAGTAACGTTTGAACAATGACATTAAACAACATGATGCGCAACTCCGGCATTTTTGTCCGAAGATCGTATTCGATAGCACGCTCCAATGCACATACTTGACGAGACGAAAACGAGCGGATGTGCGCTGCTTTCAAGGCGTAGCACGAATGGTGTTCGTGCCTGCTTTGACAGTTGTTGTCGATTTTAATGATATTTTTGAAAGTTGGGGTAAAAAGAAATCGGTAAAAGGTAAGGTGAATACTATTGTTGTATATCACACCCGGGCATCGCACTGTTAAGTACATGTGTGAAAGCCAGCCTTTGTCAAATACTACGAAGTTATTAATTCAGTACGGTACGTAGTTGCCCATTTGCCGAAATTACATATTTACTTACCCCTTATGGTTTCAAATAGTTCATGCACCTCCAGTTAGATTTTTTTAACCAGTGAGGATATATACTCATTGTTAATTGCTGCTCATTGTAACATACTATTACGCATTCACTTTTATTTGCGTATTGAATCAAAGTGTTAACAAGTTCACCTAACATTTCACTCATACCGGTCTATATTGTATAGTCTGATTTCTCAAGTATTTGGAGCCACGAATGCTTGTAATTTTCTGACTAAAGCCTTTTATTAGTTGGTTTATATACCAAATTCAGTAAAATATTTTTTAAATAAAACATGAGATATTGGATTTAGTAGCTTTTCCATTCTGAATCATATAGACTGCTTTATTTATTCTTAACGAAAATTAATAAATCTCCTCTCTTTCTTCAGATGTGAAAGTTGTGGACAAACCTGTCTAAGCATTGTGAGACT